CTCTCTCTCTCTCTCTCTCTCTCTCTCTCTCTCTCTCTCTCTCTCTCTCTCTCTCTCTCTCTCTTCGACAAACGAAATAGGAATGCATGATGCATTCCCGTTTCGTTTTTCGAAACGATAGCGGGAATCGTTTTTCTTATTTCTTTGTTCTTTATTGTTTTTCTTTTGCCCGTTTTTTTCGTTGTGTACGTTGCACCTTCGGGATGGCTGCGCCCGGTAGTCCGAGCCTCGGCACGGATCGGCCTACCGGTCGGCCGAGGCTCAGACTCGATAGCTGGGCCAGGTACTGGTGGTTTAACCTCACTGCTTGTGCTGGAATACGGGACCATCCTCCCAATGTATCGTCCGAAAATAAAGGTTCCAAATTTCCTACTAAATCTATCTGTTGTACTTAAGAGTCTAACACGACCCTGTCTGGCAAATGTCCTACTTCAGGCCTGAAGCCATGGTCCTATTACGAGTTCTGTCTCTTCCGAAATCTTCGCTAGCCTACTATCTATAGCCCATGTCCTCCTGAACCACAAGTTCCCTTCGTTCTGCCAGTCAATGCGGATTATCCTTCTTATCTGTCCTTTAACCTCTATCTGAGCCTGCGGTAGCGTCCAGTGCTTCCCTTGGAAAGTAAGGTAATTCTCAATTACCTGGGGCCGGTGAATTTGATGATGATATCTCAAGGCTGTCAGTTGCTGACTCTGTACCTGCATCTGTATCAATACAGATATTATGACCTCGTACGTCCTTTCTTTTTTTTCTTTTTTTTTCGACTCCTCCTAAGCCTACACAGAGGACCCCATGCATGTTGGCCCTCGCCCTAATGGGTGGTGGTGAGGGAGTCGGGTGGGGCCGGGGGGGGGGGGGGGGGGGGGGGGGGGGGCACCAGCTAATGCAAAGAGCGAGCATTTTGCAAGTAGCTCCGCCTCCCATCTCCTTCCCCTACCCCCCATCGAGTAGCAGCAGTGGCTGTGGTGTGTGGCCGCCACTCTCCCACTCTCCCACACACCAACACACAACCCACTCACGCTCACGCTCACACTCACACTCACACTCACACCCGTGTTGGTCATACATAGACCCTACTAATACCGATCAGGGGTATCAAGCAGACTATCCCAGTCCGTTGCCACTAAGTCCGCTGTCGGCGATCATGGGCTTCGAACCCACAACGGTCAATTTCACAGAGAGATGAACGGTCAGAAGCTTGAAAAATAAATAAATAATAATAATAATAATAATTTATTTAAAAAAGGGTCAAA